ATGAACTTGAACAGTTTTATTGAGGCATAATTTAATTTAAAACGCACTTATTTTAGGTGTACAATTAAATGACTGCAGTAAATTTACAGAACTATGCAACCATTACAACCAACCAATTTTAGACAGTCCTATCACCACCCCCAAAAGCTCCTTTGTGTCCATTTGCAATCACTGTTTATCTCAACTTCCAGCCCAAGGCAGCTACTCGTCTGCTTTCTGTCTCTGCGGATTTGCCTCTTCTGGAAATTTCCTATAAATAGAATTATACAATATACGGCCTTTTGAGTCAGGCTTCTGTCACTTAGCCTAGTGTTTTTGAGGTCGACCCATGTTGTAGCATGTGTCAGCTCGTCGTTCCTTTTTATTGCTGAATAATAATCCGTTGTGTGACCCTCCCACATTCTGTCTCTCCATTCACCAGCTGATGGACGTTTTGGGTGTTTCTACTTTTTGACTGTGACGAATAAAGCTGCCGTGAGCATTTGTGTACAACTCTTTGTGTGGACATATGTTTCGCTTTCTCTTTGGGTATAATTCTAGGAGTGGACTTGCTGGGTCGTATGGTGAATTTTTGTTCAACTTTTAAAAAAACTGCAAAACATTTGCCCCCACGGTGCTGCAGAATTTTCCAATCCCATGCCCATGGGTTTTATAGTCTGTGAGGCCAGGGTTCCAATGCCAGGGCCACCCGTGCAACCAGGCAGAGCCTACTTAGAGTCCTAGACAGTAAAACGAAGCCTTTGGGGGGCACTGGGTCGAGCTCAGCCTCTCCGCTGCTCCTGACGGTCTGTCTGAGAAATAGGTGGCCAAAACATCAGCTATTCTACTTTCTTATCTGAAAAAAATCACTCTCTGGGACTGACAGCACTTCAAGGGGGAAATCAGCAAAGTGGCTATTAAATAAAAAGGGAAAACAGAAACACACACACGGAGAAGTCAGGAGATATCTCACCAAAGGAAGGAAACCAACTTGAGAAAGCAGAGGGGACCCCCTAAGTGCTCTGGGAGTCAGCCAGCCCCTGTCGCACTCTGGAGGCCGTTCCCACCACCAGGTTTGTCAGAGCCTTTTCCGGCCTCCTCAGGGGCCCAGGGAGAGGATGATGGGTGACGGTGGGAGGGAAGCCCCAAGACCAGCTGCCCAGGAAATCCATCAGGCCATTCCTGAGCCAGGGCTCTGAGCGGGAGGCACTGCCGGCGCCCCCTCGCCCGCCTCCGCCCCCTCCCCCCCAGGAAAGGCCTTCTCCAGAGCTGGGCGACCCTCTAGGGAGGAAGAAACAGCCTACTGTCAGGATGGCTCTGAGCACCGCTGACCCTCCATATTGTGCCACAGGTGGCTCTAAAGAGTCATTTTTAGTGATATTTGAACTTCCTCTGTTTAATGGAGATGCAATTTTTGGTTAAGAGTTTCGACATTTCTGGCGGCCGCTGCAAATGAGAAAACTCTAATGCTGACACATGGTGGGTGTCCAACACGGGCACTGTTCTCCCAGCTCCCTCCTGACACATTCTCTCCTCAGAGTGGGGAGATGACAGGGCGCTGCTGAAATGTTCACAGAGCCCGCAGGGACGGCACAGAGGCCACAGCTTGGACGCTGCCTGCCTGGGCTCACTCCTGAAAGCCAACCACTCAGGACGGGAGGTAATTAGACCCATTCTGGGCCTGCCATTGCCCTGGTGATGCGGGGACCTAGTCGCCCACGGGTGGGGTGTCAGTCCACACCTTGGCCACATGGGGAAGGTCCTGGCGCTCCACAGTCACATACTCAGTATGTCTGGCTCCCACCATCAGTCACAAGCAATGTCCAAAAGCTGGTACTGTTGTCAGTGGTGGGGTGATTCCAGCACCTCGCAAATCTTGTAAGGTAACAAGGCCACAAGACCACCTGGTATCAGGGGGCGTCCAACAGGCCCTGAAGCAGATATAGGAGATACACAAGTCATTTCTTCTGATCTCAAGTGTCTCAGCCTTCTGGAAGGTAGAAGACCCTTAGTGACTGAACTGGGTTGAACAGTGTCCCCCCCAAATTCATGTCCATCTGGGACCTGTGAACGGGAACTTATTTGGAAATAGAATCTTTGCAGACGTAATTAAGGTAGAATGAGATCATACGCTGGATTGGGGTGGGCTCTAATCCCATGACTGGTGTTCTCATAAGAAGAAGGAAATTTGGACACAGACACAGAGAAGACATGGAGCAGACAACTATGTGAAGATGGAGACACCCAGGGAGGGGGCCATGTGAAGACAGAGGCATGTTAGAGGAATGCAGCTGCAAGCCCTGGAACTCCGAGGATCGCCAGCAGCCAGAAGCTGGAAGAAGCAAGGAAGGACTCTGGGAGAGAGGGCGGCCCTGCCAACACCTTGATTTCAGGCTGCTGGCCTCCAGAACCGGGAGGGAATACACTCCTGTGGTTTAAACCACCCAGTTTGTAGCACTTTGTTACAGCCTCTCTAGGAAATGAATACAGTGACCAAGAGCTGGGCTCGGGTCGCCTGCAACACACTGTGTATGTGCTGGCAGGTGTCAGAGCGGGAAGTAGAGGGCTGCCTGGAGGGGAAGGTGCCTCTTTCAGTTGTGTCTGATGTTTGGGCAGGAGGCCCAAAGAACAGAACTGAAACTAGGGGCGCAGCCTGGCTCCTGGTAGGTTTGGCTTTAATGGCGCATTCTTTTTCATCTTGGCGTCGTCCATCGTGCCTGGAACGGGTACTGTATCCAGTGGGTGCTCAGGAGATGTTCACTGGCTGAGCTGACCTGATTCTCTCCCTGCGTTCCCTGAGCCCCCGAGTGGTGCCTACTGCATAGTCCTCAGTCCCTCTGCCGTGCACTGTATTGTTCGTGAGCTTGTCTTGCTCCTAACAGCGTGCATCGATGCCCAGTGTGATCGGGAGCTTCTAGACCAGAAGGCCCAGTCTGCGTGTTTCCTGTTTTCCTATGCCTCACCCCACTCCATTCCCCATGTTTGACATGCCACAGTGCCTGTACACAGTAGGTGCCACTACATGCTTAGTGGTTTTGGATGAGCTCTGCCTGCGAGGAGACAGATGACATGGTTGGGAGGGAGCTAACCCAGCTTTGCTGAAAAAGCGATTTAGAGGCTGCTCTTTGCTGAGTTGCAGGGAAGCATCAGCACCCCTGAAAGTGGTCAATAGGGATTCCCCTCACTGAGGCCACACGCTGAGCCCCTAATTCCGGCTCAAGGAGCTGCCACTTTATCCTCAGTGTGACCTGAGCAATGAATTGCCTGAGCTCTCACCAGTGGCCAGAGCCGTGGAAAACAAGAGCTGCCGTGAAGAGAGGGACCAACCATTTGCAGTCAGGCTGTGTTCACCATGTTGCACACCTGAGCCGCGTTCACTGTGTTATACGTAGCACAACAGCTGGAAATCGAGGGTCAGTGCCCAGGGCTGGAGTTGGCAGCACCTTCTGCCCACCCATCCAAAAGTCTGCTGCTTCCCATGAGCACCCAGCTTGTTCTGGGCATGGGTCCCTCTGTGACGAACTAGACTGACCAGCCCATGGAAACCCCTTCAGGCATGAAGATGACATTAGTCTACCTGGCCCCTTCACAGGAGCCCAGGGAAGTCTCTTCATTTGGCACAGACAAGCTGGACTGGAAACTAGACCCTTCCACGTTCACAGAGCCTCACAGCTGATTCTTTCCCTGGCCCTTGGGTCAGCCACCCCAACCGCGAGGCCTACGGGTGCTGAGTGGGGAGTGGTTTGGAGCGATCAGAGTTTGCCTTGAAGGGCACCATCCAAAACTTGACACTGAAAGGTCAGCAGCTCACATGGGGTCCTGAGTGCTGACCACATCTGGTCTGGATAGCCAACAACCCACATGAAGACCCAGCAGCAATCTAGTCGCAGCCACCATCCAGGGGACTCTATTGTCCTTCTGTCTACCCAGGATATCTCAGCCGGGCAGCTGGCGAGTGAGAACTGAACATGACTTTCCACGTCAGGTTTCCCTGGAGACAAAAGCAAAGCCGACACTGGGTGTTAAACCATTGCACAAAGTGGGTCGACACAACGCCAAGGTGGCAGCCTGCCATTAAAGTCACAAGGCCTTCAAGAGTAATGACTTTTGCTATCTTGTCTGTGTCCGGTGTGAGGGCTCGAACTGTGGGGCAGTCCCCAGCTCACGTGGAGGTGACCTGGGCTCCAGACACTTTGCACTGCTGTGGTCACTGGACACGAGAGCTTAGAAGGGTGGGAGCTCTCCAGCGAGCCCCCTGCGTGGGCTGGCAGGACAGCACTAGGATCAGGAGTTTCCAGGAGGGCTGGCCAGAGTTCCCGGCTTCCTGAGAGGAACAATGCTGGAAGGGAGTGGGACCCGTGCCACAGACGGCACATCCTGTCCATGGGGCTCATAAGGGCTTCAAAACAAACAAATGCTGCTGCCCCCAATTAAACTTTTTTTTCCCTTCTATGGTGAAAACTCCAGGCTCGGGTAGAGTGGTCCTTCTCAGAGCAACCCAGGAGCTTGCCTCGGGAGCCATGGACGCAGTTTGAGCTTAGCTACAGACCCAGAGCCAAGTGGTCGGGGAGACCAGGGCCAGCTCCGACCGCCCCCGCACGGGCCTCCCAGGGATGTCAGCTAGCAGAACCGTCTGCTCAGAACCTCAGGGCCCCGGGCACAAAAGAGCATCCCAGAATCTGAGCTCGGCCAGGAGTGTGGAGGCCAGTCCCCACTCCGAGGAGACTGCAGGTGAAGAAGGGAAGGGTCCTCTTCCCAAACAGGTCCTGGCTGAGCAGTTACTGATGCGACGACTGCCACCGGGCCTGGGCCCCTGGCCCCTCTGCCTCAGTTTACACAGTGGAATCCTCCCTTTGCCCTTGTCCCACCCTGCTGAGCAGCAGCCTGGGAGGCCGGGCAGAGCCTCCGAAGACCCTGGATCCTTAAAGGGCAGCTCCCCTAGTTGAGCCCACTGTTTAAAGATAATCCCCCCACCCCACCATCCTCAACACAGACAAGAATGCCGCCAATGAATGCTGCAATGAGTCACTGACATGAGCTTTATTGCATGACTGGGTGTCATCAATTTGCCAGTAGGTCACAGACCTGCACTGGAAAACAGCCCCAGTTCAAGGATCATTATCTGGGAAGCGCACATCCTCGCTGAGGTGCCCGGAGAGCATCAGGCCACCAAGGAGACCGAGCCACAGTGGATGAACCCACACCAGAGTGGCAGGTTCCGTCCTGTGATCCCTGCCAGTGGGGCCATCTCCGCATGGGCACCGGGCACCTGCTGGCTGCACCCTCTGCTCCCACGTCACACATGGGTGAGAGGTGGTGGTTGGGAGGCAGGCATCAAGGAAGGGGCAGGGAGCTGGCATGGGGCACAGAGGACACCACCGCGTGGGAGAGCCCGGGCAGAGCTGGCCCGTCACCTCACCACTTGCTCCTTCCTGCAGTCAGCAAGGGACAGGGACAGAGCTGGGGGGGGCGGGGCATGAAGGCCTGACAGTGAACGGGAAGTGGCAGGTGCTGGTCACTGGGGCTGAGGCTGTCCCAGGGGCAGCTCAGGGCCCAGACAGATGGGGCCCTCGAAGCCTGGTAAGGCAGAGGAGGAACTCAGCTCTCAGCTCCCAGAACTGCCTATTTCTTCTTACTCTGGTATAGGTGAAGGGGGGCGGGGCAGCTTTTTCAGGACTGAGCAGCTGACGAGGGTGGGTGAGACGCAGGACAGATCAGACGGGGTGCTCCCACCCACCCTGCAGGTCTAGGCACAGGTCTTGACAAGCCCAGGTCCTGGCAGCAAGCACCCAGCCCAGGTCAGGGAAGCCTCCCCCAGGGTTGGCTGTTGGCCCCATTCAGAAAAGGGTCTGGGGTCCGAGTCCCAGACCCCCTTTCCAATGCCTCTGTCAGGCAGGACAAGCCAAGGAACAAGAGTGGTTGTTTCATTAAAAACTAGGTCTGAACATGAAGAATACATATATTAAAAAAAGACATTCTTTGCTCCATTAAAATTATTTACTGAGAATTTCCTGAGCACCGTGCCAGACCCAGACTGTGTGCTAGGCATGCGGGGTCCAGGGGAAGTGTAAGGCACTGGCCCTGCCCTGCCCAGGGCTCCTTCGCGCCTGCTGTGAAAGGCTGGAAAGCAAGTCCAGACCCAGAGAACAGGGCACGCCTGGCAGCATGCACCACTGGACAGACTAGGTCTTCGAAGCAGCAGCAAGAGAGCACTCTGCGTAGGCCCACTCTGAATAGAAGGGACACGCGAGGCTGCAGGCCCAGGCAGAGCTCTGCAGGATGCTGTGAGCACTCTGCTCGGAGCTGCAATGGTGGACACTGGCCATATGGCCAGAGGCCCAAGGGGGCCACGGTCTGGCTAGGCCTTCCCTGGGAAAGGAAGAGAGGAAGGAAGACCTGGGCTTGTCAGGCCAGCCATACTGCAGAGATGCAGGGCTGGGCCTGAGGTCTCTAAACTGGACAGACGGGAAAGCACCTGCTAACCAAAGGCAGCTCAGGGTCGCCCAACCCAGCCAGGCCCTCCCAGGTACTCATTCAACATCCCTGTCCTTGGGGACCCTCCCAGAGCCAACAGGCCCCAGGAGCCATGCTGCACAGAGACTGGTCCAGCCACCCCCACCTTGGGCTGGCAGACCTTCTCTCCTGTGCTGGGCTGGCAGAGCTGGTGGGCACAGTTTCCCTGCCCCAAGGAGCCTCCTTGGGCATCCCCAGTCTCATTCTATCCTGGGGGCTGGGCTCCTGGTTAGCAAGGTACCCCACATGCTCTCCCCTCCACATGCACGTGGCTGAGACAAGTGAGCTCCAATTCCTACGGTGACCTCTCTGCACCCTACAGGGTTCCACGACCCCCCAGGCTGGAGAGAAAGGAACAAGGTAGTACAGGGGTGCTGTGACCTGGGCTTCTACCCTCCTTCCCTTGGGGCTAGAGGTCCTGGCCTGCAGGGCACAGGCCCCACTCACTACATGCCCCTCCACAGGAGATGGGCTACTGGCCCAGGGCCGGCACAGGGGTGGGAGGGTCAGAAGAGGCTGGGGGCGGCCTGGCCAGGCATGTCATGGTCCCGGATGTACTGCAAGATGTCCATCTCATCCATGGCTTGGATCTGCTGCTGCTGCTGCTGCTGCTGCCCGGCCACAGCCTCTGATGGGCCCGCTCTGGGGAGAACAGCTGGCTTTCTGGGTAGCGCTGGCTTAGCTGCCACTGGCGGCTTGGGCTTAGGCTGGGGCTGGGGTTTGGTCTCAGTCCTCAGGTTCAGAATCTGGTCCAAGTCCTCTTCGACTCTAGGGAACCAGAGGGCGGTGCTCTGAGCATAACCTCTTGCAAAACGAGCAAGGCCACCCCGAACCCCAAACTGTCCTTCCACCACCTGCCCCAGGGGAGGAACTGAAGGGCAGGTTTCCCTTCCCTGCAACCCTGCAGAACTGTGGAAGCAGAGCCCGCCCCTCAGCAGCCTCTGAGGGGCTGCTTTGCAAGGTGGCCCCACTCTAGAGACACTGGCCTCTTTAGGTGACTTTTCCTTCAACCCCTCAAGAAATAACAGTAAGAACTGCCAGATAAGGAGCCCCCGCTCTGTGCCAAGCTCTTTAGACAAATTATCTTGTTTGGAGAGCACGGCCGCATCTCCACCCTGCAGATGCGGACGCTCAAGTCCCAGGAGGCCGAGGGACCTGCCTGAGATGACAGTGAGCATGAGGCAGTGTCTGAGTTGAAACCAGGATGTCTGACTTCAGAAGCTGAGCTCTCATCTAGACCAAGTTCAGACAGAGGAAGGATAAATGAGGGGCTCTGAGAATTGTGGGGTGGGGTCTGCCTGCCCACAGTGCCCCTCTGTAGGCCACACGGGCGCTAGACAGAGCCCACCGAGGGCTGAAGCCAGGCTTAGCCAGGGCCTTCCAAGACTCCTTCATGACCTGGACCTACCTCAGCCATGGGACAGTCACATAGAACCAGCCCCAGGTACCAAATGGCAGTTAAGAAAGGCCAGACTGTAGCCTGCCTCTGCCCTTGGCCTGAGGAAGTTCCTGCTGCCAGCTCCTGGTAGAAGAATGCAATTCCAGGAGACCAGATGCCCATTAGATCCACCCCACCACCCACCCACTAATGGCTGTCTTGGGTTCAAGGTGATCCTACGAGGAGCTACCCAGGGACAGGTTACTCCTGGCAACCTTAGCTCAGAGGTGCTGGCTTGCTGCATGTGGCAGCCCTGAGTTACCCTGGGGCAGGTGCCAGCTCCTGCATCCTACACTGGAGGCTGGGTGCCCAGAAAAAGCTCAGAAGGACTGAATTATCCTCAGACAAGGGCCCTTGGGGAAATAAAGCCAGCAGCTAAAAGCCCGTGTCAGAGTTCCGGATTTACACTGCTTGACAAAGCACTGACTCAGGGAATTAATCAGAGGTTGGATTTGCTCTGAGGTGGGGGTGAGGCGGTCTCACTTGGGATACAGGTGGCAGCATGGGCACCCCTTTCCAAAAGCTCTATTTCCACCTGGGCTTCTGAGTCCAGGCTAAAATAGGTCCCACAAACACACTGAAATGCTACGTGGTGTTTCCGCCCCTGGCCACTCACGAGCACAGAGTTCCGCTTAACAATGGCACTGCCCCAGCTGTCTGGCCATAGAACCCCTTTGAAAGTAACACCTTTGAACACCCCCCTAAAGTGATGCTCTGCAGAACACAGATCTGCGAGTTGCCAGTGTTATGGATGTAGAATCAACTAGCCAGGAAGGTCCCACTGGAACCGGCCCCCTGGGACAAGCTGAGTCCTGGAGACAGCAGAGGCTCCCTGGGTGGGACAGGCTCTGCTGGGCCCTGCCACTCGCCAGGGCTTGTACTCCGCTTCCCTGTGCCTCAGTTTCTCCCCTAAACCTGTGATAACAATCCTGGCTTCTCCCAGCCTGCCATGATGTCGGGGGCGAGGACACAGGAGAGTGAACAGATGCCTGGGGCCGTGGGGAGATGTACAGACAAGAAGCTTTCCTGTGACTGAGGCACGGTGGGCACTTAGAGGGCTGTGTAATAGCCCGTGGCTGCTAACAAGGGTGCAGACAACAGCCTCCTGGGACTGCACGCTTCGGTGCCCTGAAACTGTTCCTGGAAAGAGACAGATAGCTCAGCTTCCTGTAAATCGACAAGCATGGCCTGCATTCTGGGGGCACGGAGAATGCGATGGAGAGAGATGCACAGTGCCAAGCACGCTCTGAGCACGTGGCACCGCAGAAGCCCCAAGGGAGACGCTGTGGGGTGGGGAGGAGGGAGTGGGGGTGGGGTGTCTCCCAGCCTCTCCTCCTCCTTCTAATGCTCAGAGGGATCTGCGGCCGTTGGGGGGACAGGACACAGGTAGGCGGACCCAGGTTCCAATCCTGCTCTACCACTTGGGCGGTGTGGCCTCAGGCCACTTACCGGTGCCACACTCCGTTTTCTATAAAACGGATGTAACAGCACCCACCCAGGGGACTGTTGTGAGGATGAAATAAGACCACATGGGAAGAGCCCATATGCTGTGGGATGCACGGCAAGCGCTCTGTTAAGTGGTGGCCGTCGCTTTTGCACATGTTCTGCCAATCGTCCTCCACGGAACAGATTAAGCCTCACTTTCTCCTCTGAAAAACCTACCGATGGGACCCTGCTGGGGACCAGCCACTGTCCAGCACATCTGCCCTTTGCTCCTTCTGGGTGAGCTGCATGCTGCCAAGAGTCAGTTTCATACGTTCCCAAACCTGTTTATGCCAGTTACACTTGCTCTTGCAATTATATAATTTAGCTATTCTTTATATAAGCTATTGAACTATGAGTGTGAAAGGAAAAGAAAAAGACTTATATGCACACAGTTCTCTCTTTCTGGAAACTTCTGAGTGGCTGGACCCCGCCCCCACTCATCCAGTCCCCGCTGCTGCCTCCTGGCCAGCTCCCCCCACAGGCCCTGGTCTCCCAGGGCCAGGATTCTTTCCCTCCAAGGCCACGGCTGGTGGGAAGATCCCATGTTGGGACAGGTCCCTGGCTCTGTCCAGGCCACTCTCAGAGCTGGCAAAGCACCGCTGGGGACAGGTGGTACCTGAACAGCTCCTCAGAGGCCTCCCTGTGGCCCGGGCGGGGCGTGGGCCCTCCACTCTCACAGGCAGCTGGCAGCAATAAGGGGTCACCCAGGGGGACGGCCCCACCGAGGTCAGGATCATCAAACAACTTCAGGGCTGTGGAGAAGGCAGCAGCAGAGTGATGAGAGGAAGTCCTGGCCCACCCTCAGCGGCCTGCGGGGTGCAGGGTAGAGACGCCCTGGTCCCGTCTCCTGGCCCAGCTGGGAGAGAGCAAGGCACAAGGCAGAGCCCAGGAGAACCTGAGGAATGGGGCCAGGTGGAGGCCAGGGACAGGTGCTCGCTGGGGCCGGCACGCCTATCTGCCCAGCCCCACCCCCACCTCTCTCTGGACTGGGCCAGTCAGCAGATGGCATCACTCTGTTTACGTTCCTCATGGTCTTTTTACTGCTTTTAGGAGGAAAATGCCTCTTTAGCTCACTGTGCCAGGCTCTCTATAACCTATGATTCGGCAGAACCTCTTAACTCAGGCCCCACAGCTACATCCCCGACTTCCAACAAGCACTTATTGAGCGCCAACCACCGGCCAGGGGCTGCTGCCTGCGGGGGTGCAGTGGTGAGCTGACACCGTTCCAACTGCGGCCCCTGCCTTCCAGGAGCCTGGGTCTGCCCCCACCCTCTCCGCGTCTCCACTGTTTGGTGCTGACCGTGAGGAAAGGGGGTCGCAGCCTCTGCACCTGGAACAGCCTTCTTCAGCAGGCCAGGCAAACTGTGCCTACCCTTCAGGACCCAGCTTGCGTGAGGCCCCCACCGGGCACCCACCCCAGGAAGCCTTCCCTCATGTCCCCACAGGCGCCGACATTCTGGTCAGACCTGTTACAGGTTCAGGCGGCCCTGTAATTGTCAGGAGATGTCCTGTCTCCTGTGAGAGGTCTTGTGGCCAGGTTGCGCCTTTCTCAGCAATATGCTCTGGGGCCCAGCACAAAGCCTGCTGGCCCTGGATGGGTGGTCACCAAGTGTTGGCGGAATTAATAGGTGACGTGAATTCCCAGCGTTGGATGAAGACCTGGGCAGGGTGAGGAAAGGTGAGACTCGGGGACGAGTATAGAAGTCCTAAGGCTGCGCCCTTTTCCATCTCTGCAAAGAATCCCCAGTGGGGTCTGTGCAGGTGACATAAAACCTCCTGTCACAAACCATATTCTAGAGTCGCAGCACGCCTGGGGTCCACGTCTGACCACGCTGATACCAATCAATCCACATTTGTCAAAGCAACAGAGCAGACTCCCCTCCCCTCCCAGAGGAAGAGAATAAACACGCAGCCCCTGAACGCTCCAGGCTGCGGGGAAGGAGGCGTTAGACTAGATTTCTCCACAGAAAATCTCCACATGCTGCGTCTGGCTCACGTCGGGACAGGAGGAGGGGAAGGCTTCCATCCTGCTCACATGTGGCAGGTCCAAAGCTGCTCACAGAGGCTGGTCGGGTCACTGAGGGGACATCAAGAGTGAAGGGAACACCCTGGGGCTCTACTTACGGTCCCTGTGGGGCACGTCCTCTGCGGGGCCCCGGGGCTTCCTGCCCGGGCCAAAGAGCTCCTCGTCGGGGTCTACTTCCTCATCAAAGATGGTGAGCCGCGGCAAGGGTCTGGGCTTCACGGCCACTTCAGGCCGTTTCTTGGGCTTCTTGGAGCTGGAGAATCACAGGCAAAACTCAAGGTGAGGATGTTTCTGGACAGCCCCGCCAGTCAGCCCAGGTGGCCTGGGCAGACCCACACCAGTGCTGGGTGGGCTTTAGCTTGTGTCCAGGAGGAACTTTCCAAGGACCGGACACTGGAGGTGGCGAGACCCTGCTACTGGACTGGCCAAGCCCTGTGCCCAGGGAACCACTGCTGTGGGGATGTGAGGGAGGGACAGACAGGTGTCTGGACTACACGGGCCGGCCGACTGCCAGATGACTCCCAGCCCTTCACTCTGGCCTCAGGCCTGCCTGAGTGGTCACATGTCAGAGAACCTGCTCTCCTCCCAGAGGTTGCAGGGGCCACCCGACCTCAGCAACCTCTGGCCCCAGACTCAGAATCACTCCACGCCAGTTGCAAATGGGGGTGGGTGCAGTCTGCAGCTGCAAACCTCAGGCCCAGCCCGAGCAGAAAGCAGCCCTGGTCAATGCTTCGTGTTTCCCCACACACATTCCCCCATCCGTTGAGTGGTGTAACCTCCATCAACCTAGAAAGCACTTCAGTGCCACCGAGCAAACCCTACCTCCTTCAAGAAACCTCTCAGCTACTCAAAACCCCACTCGACTGTCACCCCTAAGGTGGCCCAAGTCGTGCTCTGGGCCAGACACGCTGCGGGTAACCAAGAGAGGGCATGAGGGAGGCTTCTGGGCAGTGGGAGGGCTTTATTTCCTGGTCCGGGTGGTGGTTACGCAGCTCCACACATGAACATTCGTGGGACTGAGCACTGCAGATGTGCACACGTCACTGTAAGTCACCCTGCCAGTAAACAAACTTGGTTTTAGTTTAACAGGTGATCGAAGCCCTGGGGCTGATGCCTAAATTAGCCATTTCAAGGCCCCCGCAAACGAGAATGTTTACTGGAATTTTTACGGAGGATTTCTGCTCCGCCTGCCTGCCTGGCGGGCAGCTCAACTGGACCGAGGTCACCGTCTGAGCTCATGCTGGCAACGCTATGTGGCAAAACTGCGCCGAGGGGCTGGTTCTATCCCCAAACATTGGCACAGATTAACCAGCAGCAGATAAAAATAGCAGCAGGACGGCCTGGCATGTTGGAGGGGAAGATTCTCGGAGGCGACCATTCCCATGGTCTGAATTGAGCTGCCTGGTAGGATGTCAGGCTCCCAGCTGAGAAGGGGAGAAGCTACCTGTGGGAAGGTCACAGGACAGAGCACACCTGTGCGATTAGGGCCAAAGCCCTGGCCACAGGATCTGTCATTGGGCAGATTGAATAAACAGTGGTTCAGAGAAGCTAGGAGTCTTCTCAAGGCCACACAGCAGGCAAGGTGACACTGTGACAAGAACTGAGGGCAGTCATGCTCACGGTCCTCTACTCCTGCCCCCTCAAAGTGTCCCACAAGCAGGCAGGAGACACAGGACAGGGTGGGATAACAGGCTTGATCCTGCTGTGCTTTGGGGGACAGTGGCATATTTGGAAGGTAGCAAGGGACAGCACAGAGACTCAATGGCAGGGGCTGTACCAGGAAGCCTCGTGCACCCCAATCCCTGTTCTGTCTCTGTTCCAGGCACCAGCCAGATGGGCTCACGTCACAGGCCACCAGGGACATGCCTCCACTTTGGCATCAGCTCCAGGCCCTTCCTGTGATGCTGGGGATGGTGACAGCAGCGTGGACGCCATCCTAACAGCAAGTGCTTTCCTGAAACTTCAGCTGTGCCTCCTCACACACCTTGAATCGGGGTGGCCACTCTCACTGAGATGTTTCCCTCTTTTATTTCACTGATTAGGCAGAGTCACTTCAGTTCTAGTGACCCCTGGGAAGAAGGTTCCAAAGACAGGCCATGGCTCTCAGGGCAGGCCAGCTGGAGATGGCCCCAGCCAAGATCTAATGGCATCAGAACCCCAGAGGCGGGTCCGGGAAGCTGTATTTGAGTCCCTGTGGAATTGATGATCAGTCAGGGTTGGGAGCCACCGGACCAGCCTGGAGCCTGCGGGCTCTGCCCACTGCTGTCCCTCAATTACCCTTCACTTGGCCCTGCTCCTGGGTCTGGCAGGGACTGCGGCAACGAAGGGCGAACAGCCCCTGGCCCAGGGCTGCCGCTTCCCAGGAGGGCAGAGCTGGGCCTTGCCACTCCGTAGCCACTGCCCACTGGTCCACAACCCAGAAACTAAGCAGGCCCTGAAATGGCTCTTGGGGAAAGCAAACTTGCATAATACTCTTCCCCAAACTCGTGTGCTACCCAGCAAACAGGCCCCTGCAGCAGGGCGGGTGAGAGGCTTCCCATGGACCAGAAATCAGACGAAGCACCAAGAAAAGGAAACCATCTGAAGCGCACAGGAAGCGAGTAAACCAACATGATTATCTCCGGAGAGGCCATGTAGAGGTTCTAGTAACGTCCCTTCTTATACCTACTTCTGGGTCTGAGGGCACAGATTAGGCCTGACTTTTCTGCTATGTGAGTTTTCCTCTCAAATTGGATGAAATGTTCTTGTTTTTCTCCCTGGAGACGTTTGTCATCTGTTGTTGTCTTGAATTGAAATAAAATGAAACTTCAGCACATGGGACTATGCCGTCAGGCACCATCTGTGTGCTCCGCCCCGTGCCACCCTGGGCCATCCTCTATCTCCCCAACTCTCCCTGACCAATTCCGGGGCAAAAAAAAACACAAGCAGGAAATATGGAGCTTTGACAGCGAAAAGCCCAAGGGTCCTGGTCCCCAAACTTCAGTCTCTGGGACTCAGTAGTGTGTCTGGTCCAGAGCAGACACTCAGTAAATATCAATAAGAAAAAATGGATGATGAATGAATGGATAGATAGATGGATGGATGGATGGATGGATCGATGGATGGATGGATGGTGGATGGATGGATGAATGATGGAAGGTTGGATGATAGATAGACGGATGGATGATGGATATATGTATGTATGTATGGATGGATGGAAGATGGATGGATGGATGATGAATGGCAGTAGAAAGGGAGGAAGAAGGGGAAAGGACAGACAGATGAACAGATAGATGGATAGGCGGGGTGACAGTACAGCTCTTATCTGAACTTATTTCTATTTAACCCCTCTCCCCCAGGAAGGAGGGGAAAGAACGTGAAGAGAGAGGGACTCCCAGCATCAGTCTGAGACACAGACCTGTATTTCTTGTAGAAAGCCCTCTGCTCCATCGTGCCTCCTCCAAAGCTCGCTCAGTCACCTCAGCTGGGCTCTCCACCCCGCCCCGCTGCTGTTCTGTGAGTAGCTAGCTCATCCATTCACGCTGAGTGCCTTCCATGACCCAGCACCTCCCATGTGTAAGAACCTGTGTGGGTGATGAGGGTACAGAGATGACTGAGACCTGCCACTGTCCCCAGAAACTCATAGCTGATCAGTCAGACACATAAACCGATTATTACCACACAGAACACTAATTCCAGGATAGCCAGAGCACAGAGGAGGGCTTCCTAGAGGAGGCGATGCAGAAGTGGGCAGTGACCTGGGTGGGCGAAGTGGGGAGGAGTGACTCGGGCAAAGGAACTGAGACCCTCATTCGATGAGGGTCTGTGGGGGCATGACTTGGGTGCGACTGGGAAGCCGGTCCCAGGGAAAGCTCTGGTCATGGTCCATGGAGAAATGACCAGGGCCTGGACTGGGGGAGCAGCCCTGTGTGAGGGGAAGATGCGATCCGGGGGCGGAAGGGGCGTGTCTAGGATGATGCCCGATTTCTGACCTTAGGTAGACGGCCAGGCATTTCATATGTGAGGTGAGTCACTCGGTCTCCAAGCCCAATGTGAGAGCATGGACGCAGGCTGCTCACATGGGCTATGGTCCTGGCGTCCCCCCCTGTCCTCCCTCCCCTGTCAGCATCCACTCAGATGTCTGGAGGACGCACTGCCCAGCTCCGCATTCCAAAGAAACGTCCAGCTTCCCCACTCAAGGCCATGGCACAGGGCCCTGGTTCCAGTCATCTGAGCAGAGTGTGGCAAGCCCAGCCTTCCAGGAAAGCGTGTTTGTACCAGAACCAGCCGTCCCTTGGGAAGCTGAGTGAGAATCCCCCTGCCCGGAGGGTTCTCTGAGCACTGGGGGAAGAGGCGGGAGGCGGTGGGCACCGCAGGTAGGCAGGGCTGAAAAAGCAGAGGCCTTCCCAGCAGCGGGAACGAAGTCCATAAAGAAGCCTTCCCTGAGGGGGCACAGCCAAGGCCCCCGGCAGCCGGGATCCTGCTCTGGGGCCGGTATCTGCGGGGAGAGCTCAAGAGAAGAACCGCCCTGTACAGGAAAGTTTCTCATTGCCTGTGATGGCAAAAACCTACAGAAAACACAATGTCCCCAAGCAGGGGCCTGGCAAGGACGCTCACAGCACACTGACCTGATGGACTAGCACAGAGTAAGAATGTATTAGTCTATTTATTGAGAAGGGAAGACCAAGCATATAAACTTAAACGACAACAACAAAAGCAAATTATGGAACGGCACATGGGACCCAATCCCATTTTGGGAACAAAACACGAATATCCAAACGAGCATACTTTCATGACGAAAGGACTTTTCACTGTTTACGATTTTTTATATGCAAATTGTATATTATTCAAGTTATAATTAAAAATGTTTCTAGCAGAGTATTTCCAGCACCAGGCAGAACTATTTCGGTAAAACTTCGTCTTTCTCAGAACTGTGAAGTCTCTAAAATAGAAAGTTAAATACGAAAACTATGTCCAGCATGGAAAGCGGCTGTGAGAGAGCATTAAGTGAAAAAACAGAGTACAAAAAGGCACACGCGCTAACGTCTGCAGCTCCGTGGTTGCGCTGGGATGGGGACCCACAAAAATCCCCTAAGTAGAGTGAAGTGTCAGGCCGGGCAGGGCGAGGGCTTTTTCTATCTTCAAGTGCTTTCTAATCATGTAGTTCCTAGTCTTTTTCCCTAATCAAAATCAGGTTTAGAAGACAAAGACGAGCCAGGCCAGTCCCCGCACCCGGCTTTGTGCTGCCGGCTCCCACCCTTCCAGCAGCCCTGCAGCGGAGCAACAGCGCTCCGCTGTGGCCACCGCAGGGAGGACCGACGCCAGAGCCAGGCCCAGACCAGCGCTTGGGGGTGGGGTGCGGGCACCGCTGAGAAAGCAGGGCTGCTGCGTCTGCAGAGGCTGAGGGCACAGAATGGAGAAATCCGCATGCAAAACATAAACCCTTTGCAAAGTACAGGATGTTCCCTACCAAGGGACGGAGTGGGTGGCACTGCAAAAGAGTCAACAGGCCTACCTGGGTGTCCCGGGAGAGGACAGGGGAAATCAGACTTCAAGGCCTGACTGCCACACACAAGGCTCTGGCCAAGTCCCCACTCAACTCTGTCCTCAATTTCCCCATCTGTGAAAGGGGTCAATCCTCGGGCCCTGTTCTCCTCTTGGACTGCTAAAAGGCGGCCGGTGGCATCAAATCCTGACTGCGGTTTGTGCCTGAATGAATTTGGATGAGCTACTTGATTCCAAACTTTAGCTCCCTCAGTCACAAAATGAGGCTGTGCCAGTCAGCGACCCAGGGCACCATTCCCCAAGCCAGGCCTGCAGTGGACCTGAAAACAATTTGGTGCATCGTGACCTTAAAAAAAAATGAAGTAGAATAGGAAATATTTGTTCACGTAAATTCTAATCAGTTTGCAGCACTAAATACTCTCTCAAGAAACGTTAGTTATTATTCCCGATGAGGTGACAGCACTGACTATTGTCACATTGGTCACTAGATGAAAAACTGGCAGAGGATCTTAAGCCTCTGGGATCCCTGTAGGTGCTAAGCTTTCCTAGGATTCAGGAGCGAGGGCCCTGGAGTGCAGGCCAGGGATGGCACTCGGGGCAGGTGGTCCAAGGAAAGCTGACACAACCCCCCAGAATCTGCTACTGAAACAAACAGGAAATTCAAGGCAGCCCTTGCCAACCCTAAAGAGCATTTTCCTACCCAAAAAAGGAGCCACTTTGCTAAGCGTGTGCTTCAGCCAAAGGCTGGCACAAACTGCGGAGGTCCATCTCAGCTTGGCACTGCATGTGGTAACGCAAAACAACAGAGCAGGGAGCGTGAGTTCAAACAAGCCCCATCCTCCACGGTAGAGCCCTGCGGGCCGAGCGAGGCTGAGAAGGAGAGGCTTTGACGAACGTCCCCCGACACAACCCGGCCATCGTCGCTGCTGCTCTCTCACAGGGCCACTGACCCCACTCCAGGACAAGGCCGGCCATGGAGAGCCGGCAGGGGCCGGACTCCTGGGTGCCAGGTGCCACAGGACCTCTGGCTCCAGTCCCCGGTCTCCCTGAGCCCCTCCCTGAGGATGAATCGTCTTTCTCTCTAGGCTGGTCTCACAACCACCCTGCAGCCCTGACGGCCATGCCATAGCCCTCCTCCCCACCCTGTGTGCCCACAGCGCACATCCCACCAGGACAGGAAGGCCTGTGGAGAGTGGGCAGTGCTTTCAGGAGCAGCTCCCTGCAGGCAGTCAGAGGGCAAGGAAAGGAGAAGGAAGGAGGAGAAGGTGGCAGACACAGGACACCATCAAGAAGGGACCAAGCCCACAGCTGGCTTGCCTCTTCTCCAGCCAGGGTACTTGTGTGTGCATACGGCACATGTGCTTGCTTGTGTGCGCATGTGTGTGCGCATACGTGTACAGGGACACACTCCACTGGCCAGGGGACCCTGGGCTCACTACTTGCATCATACACCGTTGGCACCTCATGGGGTCACTTCTACCTGTGATTCATGGGAGCCTTACAACCACCCTGTGGGGAGGCAGGGTCAAGGTAAATACCCGTTTTACAGACAGTGAGACACGACCCAGGGAGCCCCAGTCACGTGTGGCAAGTTACAGGCTGCCAATGATGAGCTGGACGGAGAACCCAGGCCTCTGGATTGGCTGGGTGCGTGCAGGCCAGCTCTGCTAAGCTTCAGTGCAAAGCCAGGGCGTGGCAGTGGGGGGCCACCCTGTGACCAGGGAGGGGCAGGTGATACCTGAACCCAGGCCCAAAGACACAGGCCATGTGGAGAGTAAGCAGACAAGAGTTCCCCGAGCCTACCAGGCCATACAGAGCGATGGCCCAGAAAGACAGGGTTTTCTCAGACTCCCAGGGCGTTGGGAGGAGCTGCCCCAGAACCTGGAACCAGCTAGAAGGGGGCTCTCCGCAGAATGGGAGACCTACCGCATGATGCCCAGCGGGTCCAGTGCCTCTTCCTCTTCCGAGGACTGCCCAGCGTCCTCGCTTTTCTGGCTGGGGATGAGCGGCCCCTCTACTCGTTCCTGCGGCTGGAAGAAGTCGAAAGCCTCCCCATCGTCCCCTGCCTGGCTGTCTGTGTCCAGGACAGAGAGGTCTCTGCTGGTGAGATCTGCAGTCCCCGGGGATCTGGTGCCTGTGGAGGGAGAAGAAAGAGGGCAGCTGCCAGGGGACAAGGAGGTGCCTCGCCACACCCAAGTTCCTAGGCCAGGACTTGAGGGCTCCCTGTGGAGCCCTGGGACCAGGCCAGGGTTCTAAGTGGATGGGGGACATCCAGGGCTCTAAGTGCCTGCTCCAGCCCTCCGAGGGTTAGTGGGCACCAGCGTAGCCTAGAGTGGAGTGGTTATGAGTGGGAGACGTTGAGCAAAGCAGAGGCAGTGGCTCCTGAACGTCTGGGGCCCAGGGCCTGTTACGGCCCAGCCCTGGGCCAGGGGAGACCTCAGGGATTTGGGACAGAATCTCAGGTACCTAAGAATTCTAGCAGCTCTGGGCTGCCGGCCAATTCAGCGTCCTTGGAGACGCAGTGCAGAATCTCGTTGAACATGGCTCTCCTTTCCCGGATGTCAGACTCTCCAACGAACAGGACCTTTCTGGGGAGTGGGGGAAGGCTGGCCAGTGGATAATGACTGCTCAGTTTCTGGTAAAACTCCTCAATCTCGCTGTACTTTTTGGAGACCTACAATGAGAGAAACAGAGTTTCCTGAGAGAGGAGTGAAAGGAGAGTGTTCCTCCGTCATCCCCACCAGAGGTCCCGAGGGCCAAGGTATTCAGAGGGCCCTCCCCCAGGATTAGCTGCCACAGGAGTGTGTCTTGGGTGTGCCTCCCTCCTGACCCTCCGCCCATCCCTGCCTCAGGCTCCGTTCCCTAACCTTCCTAGGCAAAGCTAGGCTCAATTACGAAAGTCTTCCTGGCCCAAAGGAAAGATGTGATCACAGTGCATTCTGGGCACTGTCACAGGTACAGGTAGAGACATTTAATACAGGGACCCCAGCCCACAGGAGACCATGGCCACCACTTCCATTCCAGGCCTTCAGTGCATTAGCGAGATGACCTCACGGTCTGGCCGGCTGTTAGGTCATCTTCCTTTCTCAGCGTGGATCTCTGGACCATTCTCCCATGAATCAGCAGTGGGTCAGTCCTTACAGTGCCCAGGTGGTAAAGAGCCAGACTTTGCAAACTTAGCCCCTCTGCCATCACCAGGACCTGTCTGTACACCGGGACGTGGAGAAGCAGGCCAGGGCTCCTGCTGGCCGTCAGACGGTGGTGCTGGCTGGCTGAGTCCCCCTGGGCAGCACCAGCTTCCCATCGAGCCTCCTCTCAGCCTCTCCCCAGGACTCCTAAGGCAGCTAAGGGGCTGCTTGTTCATGTATCAAGCCGTTGCCGCAGGTTTACTCTGCATGGGGTCACCCCAGCATGTCTCGGCCCCAAGAGGCTCCCAGTGTCACGTGGGCGAGCAGCCATAGCACAGTGGTTGGTGCCACCATCATGGTTTGTATAACCCAAGGTGGGCACTCGAGGAAGACTCACTCGCTCTGTACCACACACCCCACCGAAAGCCCGGCATCCTCCCTTGGCCCTGGTCTGCTTTGTGCTCTCCTGGCATGCTGGGCCTGCCTCCCCAACTTCTCTGTGGCAGCGAGCACGAAGAAATGCATATTCCCACTTCTGCTCCCAGGCCACGGCCACGCCTGCAGCCACACTGAAACACTGGTGTGGCTGATGGGCTGCAGGGCGTCTGGGCGCATTCACAAGAGACACCAAGCAATCCTGCTGTACAGCTGTGTGGGGGCACGCAGCCCTGGCACGCCCCTTGTGAGGGTTCCGGAGGCCCAGCCGGTGGCTGGCACGCTGGGAGACTTCGGGAATCGCCCATGGGGAACCGTCTGGGACAGGGGCTGCCGCCTGCAGTTGTCAACACAGGAGACTGGCTCCAAAGCTTCCCTGAGAACAGCCCTCACAGAAAGGGAAGCGCTACGCCTTCAGGCAAGTGATGCTGGCTCCCACTCCCTGTGGTCCTGAGAACTCCATGCCGGAAGCCCCACCTAGCAGAGCAGGCCAGGTGGGGGCCGAGCGCCCCCTGCTGGCCTGACTGCTCCACGCAGGCCTGGCCGACAGACCCACCAGGACCTGGGTTCTGGGACCAGAGGAGGCTACCGGAGAGGCACCGCGAGCTGAGGGTAGGAACTCCCGTTTACTGGTGCCCAATGCGCCGGCAGACAGTATCACCGCCCCTTATCCCTCTGACATCACTGTGTATGCCTGCACCACCGGCGAGATAGGGGAGTCTGCTAAACTGCAAGCAAATACCATGGCCTTTCCGAGGCCGGATAACCTGTGCTTAGCAATTACATTCGTTGTTATATTAAAACATGTATGTCCTTTTAAGGAGTAGGCTGCAAAATGTTCTTTTTTTTTTTTTTTATAAGCGAAGTCATCAAACTTGAAAGAGATTCCTACATCCCACGGGAAGTAAATGTGTTCTTTTTTGCCCTCACCCATGCACCCATATATGCACACCCCACCGGGCGCGGGTACTACTGGTTAGGAAAAAACGGCACTGGTGTGAAGCGTGGGGGTGTTAAAGACTTCCTCACACACACCCCTGCACGTGAGGCTGCCCTTTGTACAGGATGGAGCAGGCAGCTGGGGCACTGCTCGAGGGCCCCCAGAACGCAGCCTCTCCGTCAGGGACATCGATCTCAGACATTCCCTTTTCTGTTCCTGACCCTGAAAGCTTGGCTGTGCTGAGCTGCACCCTGGGTCAAGTCAGTCACCAGGCGCTGCAAGCCACCCGCAGAGCAATGCAGACCAAGGACTACGAGCACAGCTGGCATGACTCCTTGGTTCTCGCCAAAAGTCAGTTTAAGGAGTGAATGAAAAACATCATGCTCTTTTGGATACTTCAACATGATGTGCTGAACGTCCCTTCATGAAAGATGTGTGCCGGAAGTGTTTCTCTCTTACAATCTGGCATCTCTTCTAAGGGGTCGCCAGAGTGAAGTAGTCCACTGTTTCCCTTTCATTCTTGGCTGCAGGGAGATTAGAACTCTGCCTCTGCAAACCTGCAGCCGGCTGCTCCTGTCTGGACTGCAGACGCATGCTCGTTTAACCTTTATCCAACCATCCTGTGGCCCGCCTCTACTTTTACAGGAAGCCGAAGGTAATTACTATGCGAACGAGATTGTGATCTCACCCCTCCCATCCTCCCCACTCCTCCTGGTGACTCAGTCCTCCCTCAGGTCCTGTGGCTCCACAAGGCCCCCCTTCTCTTCCCTCAGACTCCAGGAGGCTCCTCCTGCTCCGTGACTGTCCTGAGCAGCCATGTCTCTGGGGTTTCCTCCTCGGCTCTTCCCTCCACACTCCATGTCCATTTTCTGGGCAACTTCATCCACTCCCAGACTTCCAAATTTACCTCCAAGCTGATGCCTCCCAATCCTGCCTGACCTTGTCCTCACTCCATCCTCGTGTGTACCCATCAGCGGACACTTCACACTTGACCCTTCCCCTGAGACCTGCCCCTCCACCAGGGCTCATGATTTCAGTCAGTGGAAGCAACCAGTCAGCAAATTATGTGCATGGTACGTCGGAACTATTAATATTTTCAACCATCTCCCTCTCTTCCATACCAACTACTGCTGGCCTGCGCCCAGGCCTCGCCTAGGGTATCACTGTATGAGCCTTGTGACCGAGCTGCCTCCCACGCCTGGCTCCTTCCAATCCAGCTCCACTCTCTCGCCAGACCGGCCAGTGAAAGGCAAACAGGACCATGTCACTCCCTAACGTAAAACCCCTCCTTGGCTGCAAGGCAAGCGAGGCTCCCTACATGCCTTCCGTGGCCTAGATTCTGTCCCTCTCACCTTCGTCTTCTCCCGTCCCCACACAACCACCTGTTTCTAGCCTCCGCGCCTGTCCTTAAGGCTGTGACCTCTGCCTGGGACCCCTCTCCCCTTCTGCTGCCGCTTAGCTCCACCTACTCTTTAAAACACAGAACCCTTTCCCTATGGCGGGTTAGGTGCCCCTTCTCTACACTCCTCCAGTCCCTGTGTGCTCCTGTTACCGCCTGATTCTGTCTCTTTACAAGTCTCTCTCCATGGACTGCAAGCGTCTGATTTACGTGTGTCCTCACTATCCAGCAAGCGCAGGCGCTCCCAGGCCCCGAGCAAGTGTTGAAGAAGTGCCTGATGCTACTCGAACCCTGGTGGCAGGTATGTCTGCCCACCTGGACCCCTGGATCCCGGGCAACCTCAGGCGCATCCTGGCAGATTCCCCAGCTCACCAAGAACTGGACGACATCCTCAGGCCTGTGCTTGGCCGACTTGAACGCAGCCAGCCGGGTTACCACCAGGATCTGGTACTCCACGTGGCCTGACATCATCTTGCCCCGCACTTCCTGGTGCTGGGGCACGGTCAGGTCGAGGCCCGTGTGGACATTCTGAACTTGCCTGTCAAAGGGAAAGAAGGCAAAGGGAGCTCAGGTTCAAGTCAGCAGGCTTTTCGAGCAAAACACAGGCAGGAACTTGGGGGAGCCCAGCAGGCCTGGGTGCCAGGCTGCTCTGCTGGCCATACTCAGTGGTCACGGCTCCCGGCCACCGGCCCTGCCACACACCAGCCCCTCACAAAGCCTGGCTCCCCAGGCCGGGGGCCTGTCTTTGGGTTGTTCAGGGGAAAAGGGCTGTTCCTAGCAGGAAAACAGGTTAGTGCAGAGAAAGTGGGGCTGGTGGAGAATCACGGACAGCTACGCATCTTACACAGACTCAGCAGTGAGCACCTGCAGGGTTTGTGAGGATGGCACCGGGGTGGGGGGAGCTCTGTTCATACCAAGGAAAATGCCTGGGTCGGTGCACACAACGCAGAGATGAAAGCCTGCCGTGAATCTGGAGGGAGGCATATCGCTTCAGCTGACTAGAGGGCCGCAGGGAGATGGGGCGAGTGCTAGATGCCAGGCCCCTTGCAAGGCGCTGAGAAGGCTGCTGTCTGAGGCTTTGAGGGGAGCCTCAGCAAAACCTTGCAGCTCTTGGGCAATTTGTAAATGCTACACAAACACACTGAATTATGTGCAAGGCAAAGGAGTTATGGAACCTTTTCTCTGAAGTTAGAAAAAAAGCTAAATGTGCTCCTCATCCTATGTAAGGGCAAGGCCGACCCATGCACACAACCATACGTCACACAAACACCTATGACAGGCCGCGCCAGGCATATTGTCATCAAGGTGAGACTGCCCATGTGCTGGGTAGGACTTTCAGAACAAGAAAGGGGAGGCCCTGCGGGGGAGGCAGGGGTCCGACCAGAACTGGGCCCCTAGAGCAAGGCGCTTCCCTCTCTGGGATTATATCCTGACCATCAGAGGACACCCTGCCCCCGGTACTCCTTCCACACAGACTCCTTCCATCTCCACGTTAGGCATGTGACCGTCACCAATGTGACGCCGTTTATCACCAACTGGGAGGACAACTGCCATACGCCTACACGTGAAGTGTATCCATGTCCACGGACCATACAAACCTGTGCACACGTGAATA